TCCTAACATATTTTTTGAGACATGATCCTGTGAAAAATGAGAAAATATCATGAATGTCAAAACACAAGGATTAGAGAAAAGCCAGACCTAAAAAGTTGTGGACTTGCTCAAGGGGAGAAACTTGTGGGTTACAAGTGGTGTTCACAACACAAGGCAAATGAGATAATCGAGAGGTATAAAGCAAAATTGGTGGCAAAAAGCTGTAACAAACCTATAGGATAAGTTTATTGAGAAACATTTGCACCAATACCCAAAATGAACATAGTGTGAATCTTGTTATCCTTAATTGTTTAACGTGATGGTAACTACAACACCTCGATCTGAACAATGTGTTCTTACATGGTGATTGATGATCTATAAGAAGAAATGAATATGAAAATTCCATCAGGATTTGCCCAAAGCATAGGACCAAATAAAGTATATAAATTGAAAAAGGTACTCTACATACTCAGGCAACAGCCTAGAGCTTGGTTTGGGAATTTGCAAAGGTGATGATAGGCTTAGGATATAGTAAGCCCAGGACGACCACACTATGCTTATTAACCATTTATGAGAAATTATAATTCTCCTAGCATATATTGATAACATCTTGGTAATAAAAGATGATGAAAAATAAAATTTGATGCTCAAATAATGTCTGACAAAAGAGTTCAAAATCAAGGAATTAGGTAAGTTGAAGTGCTTCATTAGAATTGAAGTCACCCATTCAATGTCCGAAATCTCCATCTCCCAACAGAAATACATTCCTGACCTGTTAGGAAGCACTGATAGAATGCTTGGGGAGGTCATTGAGGAAAATCAAAATATTTTTGCAGAGAGCAGACAAATCTTAGACGCTGTGATGATTGCTAATGAGATTGTTGATGAGTTAGTTGGTAAAAGAGAAGAGGGTGTTATTTGTAAAATTGATATGGAAAAGGCCTACGACTATGTTAATTGGGGATTTGTGAATTACGTGTTGGGTAGATTGGGGTTTGGGAGCAAATGGAGAAAATGGGTTATGAGTTGCATTTCTACGACATCTTTTGTTGTTTTGGTTAACGGTGGGCCCTCAAAATTCTTTAATGCGTCAAGAGGGCTTCGACAAGGGGACCCTTTATCGCCTTTACTTTTTATTACAGTTATGGAAGCTTTTAGTAAAATGATGGTAAGGGCGGGGGAGTTGAGAGTATTGAATGGTGTTGAGGTGGGGTGTGGGGTTTCAAGGGTGAAGGTGTCGCATTTATTCTTCGGGGATGATGCACTAATTTTCTGTGAACCGTGTATTCAGGCTTTGCTTCATTTGAGGTGTATTCTCCTTTGTTTCCATATGGTATCCGGACTTAAGATTAATATGGGGAAGACTGAATTAATTATAATTGGTGGTGGGGGAGATGCGAGGAGGCTGGCTACTGTTTTGGGGTTGTAAAGTTTCGTCTCTACCGATTAGATACTTGGGTTTACCACTTGGTGCCGAGTATAAAAACGTCATGACTATTTGTCAAAAGGTGGTAGACTCACTTTACTCAAAAGTAACTTTGCTAATCTACCAATATATTACCTCTCCATATTAACCATTCCGGCAAGTATTGCTATAAAACTTGAAAAGATCCAGTGAGGGTTTCTATGGGATGATGAGGAGGGGAGATAGAAAATATTATCTTGCTAGATAGGAAGAGGTTAAGAAAAGTGTGGGCAAGGAGGGTTTGGGATTAAGATCCATTATAGATATGAACAATGCTCTTCATGGGAAGTGGTTATAAGGATGGATTGTGGAGAAGGTGATCGAGGCGAGATGGGGGTATTGGGAGAAGGAGAGGGGTAGGAGGGAGAGGTTCAAACCACATGGTAAGAGTCTTTGGAGAAGGATGAGGGACGGTAGAAAAAAAATTTACGAGCTGTGTGAGGTGCAAGGTTGGGAAGGAGGAGGAGGTTAGCTTTTGGCATGATGAGTGGGTGGGTGATTTCAAATTAAAAA